CACACACACACACACAACACACACCAACAAACACTCATTGCGCGCACACACACACACACTCATACATACATTTTCTCTCACGCATCTTATCTTCTCTTCCACGTATATATCTATACACATACACACATGATGCTTGTAATCACCAACATACCCTTTATGCACTTCACAGCCTATATCATTAGCCCAGAAGATCTGATGGCATTTTGAAACAGTCTCAACTTTCTGAAAAACATATCAGTGTAAACATAGAAACTGACATCACTGGATGATGGCTCGAGTTGACAGACGTTTAACGGATGGTGGCAAACTCACTTGTGTATCTCATTCTGCGCCAAACCCTTTGAACCCTGAGCTCCTGAGTAATTTTATTGACCATTTAGGTATACTTTTCTACACTTTTCTACAGCTAATTTGGGCAATTTTAGTTCTATTTCTCTCTCTCTCTCTCTCTCTCTCTCTCTCTCTCTCTCTCTCTCTCTCTCTCTCTCTCTCTCTCTCTCTCTCTCTCTCCCTCAACTCATCACTATAATAATAGTAGTGTATATTGATGGTACTGTTTCGTATTTGTGTTCTATTTCTGTATGCACACGTCTTGTTTAGGCGTGTATGTGTGTGTGTGTCCTACCCACATTTCGGTACGCCAGGGTATTTTCAGTGTTGCGTTCATGCTGATAATTCGGAACAACGAGTTCAATCTGCTCCACTATGTCATGTGACTCTATAAGTAGCCTTCTGTTTGGTGTTTGGTCTCGCTTCTCATGAACTGCTCCCAATTGTAACCTTAAAATTAATTCGAACATTTTAAAGTGTAAATAATGTCTTTTCAAAGGTTTGGGTAGTTGGCAGGTGTTCTGGTGAGCTTCTTTCTTTCTTTTGGTCCAAACATCTATTGCCCTTATGTCTCCTCCTCCTTCTATTTGTACGTTACTCTCTTGTGACAAGTCCAAAGTTCGGCATTTGTATGATATATTATGTGTATTTGAAGTGCCGTAAAACTACTTAAAATACAACTGAACTATTCAATGATACCAAAAATATTGTTTGTCGTTTCGTGAAAGATAGCCTCATACGCATACACATGTGCTTTCATTCCTACAAAAACACGCAAACACATGCAAACACACACACACACACA